TGCCTAAACAAACAGAACGCATAACTTACAGATGCTGATGAGTGGTATAAAAACATAAACCCGAGCAATAAGATGTAGAAGAACCACCGGTAACTGGCACGATAAGAAGACAAAATTGAGTAATATATCTGGAAATCTTTTCTGAGGAGATGAAACATACCCTAGAACCTGAAAGATAAGAAGGAGTCTAGCCATTTGAAAATCTGAAAGAAGAGCATTTCAGGCCAAGGATGGAGCAGTAAAAAGCTTGAGATCAATATGACACTGGGGCATCCTGGAAAAGGACAACAGCCATCAATAGGATTGAAGTCACATCCAGTATGTGAGGGAATTAGTTGAACAAGGTGAGAACGAAGAGAAAGTGAGGAGCCAAATCCTGTAAGGCTCTGCAGAGCAGGTCCTATTAAAGACTGTGTGTTTAACCATGTGCTAAGAGACTCCATGTATCAGTCTATTTTCCTGGAGCAGGCGGAGCACGGTGTGGCAGACTCTGCTATAAGTAAACCAGGGTGCAGTCGGCTCTGTTACTTACTATTTGACAATGGGCAAAGCCTCTAGAAGCTGCTCTCTTAGGGAAAGACACTGCAAAGGGAAAAAGCTTAGGAGGCCATTGTGCCAGTTCATCTATGAATGCGATCACCTTCTTCTCAACCCCTGGAGAACAACAGTCATCTCATGATGGCCATTAGACCCAAAGAAGTTTTGGACAAACAGCAATGTGTCAGCTTGCCCATACTCATTTGAGAAACAAGATTACTTCTGTCTTTCTTCCCATCCCTACCTTTGACCTAGTTTTCCCCTATTGTTCTATTGACACTCTGCCACAATGGGAACTCCCTCTCAGGACCCTGTGCTGCTTCTTCTCTTCTGCCTTAGTCTAAATGTAGATAACACTTAAGACGTGGTTATGGTCCCTCTCCCTTTCGTTTCTTAAAATTTGTCCCTAAGTGATCTTACCCATATACTTTAATTCAATAACATCTTTATGCTGATGACCCCAAAATTTATCTGACCCAGACCTCTCCAAGTAAGTCCTGGGCACACATAGCCAGCAGCACTTGTAAGCACCACTTAACGTCTTAGGGACATCTTACATCCCTTCATTCCCACATGGAATTCCTTTCCCCAAAACTTGTACACCTTTTCAATTTTCTCCACTTTCAGAAAACAGGAACCTTTCCAAAACCTTTCCAGTTACTCAGGCCAGCACTGATGCATCATTCTTGCTTCCCTTTCTTTTAATTCACTCACTACAGAGCAACAAAAATGATCTTCTTAAAGTGTACACTGAGTTATATCCCCCACACCCATAGATTGCCAATACATTTACAATAACATTCAAATTCCTTCCCATGACCCCTGAAATCTATTGTTCTACCATTTGCTTTCATCTTGATAAATGTTTCCAGCACTCACAAAATTGATCAAGTCAAAAGCCAAGGAATCACTCTCACTCTGTCCTAACCTTTGGCAATCCTGTAAGTTCTTCTGTCAAAATGTATCCGGAACTCATCCATTTCTTTCCACCATCCCTGCTACCACCATGGTTCATATGGTCTTTAGTTTTTATCTAGATTCCTGTAGTAGCCTCCTACCTCTCCTTTCCATTTACATGTCCCCACAGTCCATCTTCCTCAGAAAGCCACAGAGGTCTTGTGAAGAGTAAATATGATTTCATCATGCATCTGCTTAAAACCCAACAGTGGCTTTCTATTGACTCGAGAATAAAAGCAAAACTGCTTTCCCTGGCCTTCAAGGCCCCGACCACCTTCCTCTCTAGCCTTAGCATCTCATTTCTCTCTCTCATTATGTGCAGATACACTGGACTTGTCCTCAAGCTTGCCAAGCTCATTCCAGATTTGAGGTCTTTGCAATGACTTTTTTCTCTCCCTTTCTGACTGGGAGGACCTTTCCTAAGATTTCACGTGGCTGTTTCATTCTCATCATTCGGGTCTCTGCTCAAATATCGCTTCTTCAAAGAAAATAAACTATAAAACAATTATCTCCCCCTTCTAGGTTACTCTGCATGGTTTCAGCTTGCTTTGTTTCCTCACAGCCCAATCTGAATTATGTATGCATGTATGTATGCACGTACACATGCATGTATGTATGTATATGTGTATTTATTTATTGGTGTGTGTGTGAATTTCTTTCCTTACTAGAATATAAACTCTTGAGTGTAGAGACGTTAGAAATTATGTTCATTAATATATTCAGTGCCTGTAAAAATGCCTGGCAACCAGTTGATGCTCAAGAAACATGTGGCCGATGAACAAAATGTTCATCGTAAAGGTTTATACTCAACCTTTTCCTCTCCAACCTCATCTTCTCTTTAAATTCAATATACCCTGTTTTCTTGCAGTTCTTCAAATACTTTGTTATTTTCTGCCTCGGAGACTTTTTACATACTATTCTATCTGTTTTTAATGCCCTTCAGATGGTAGGCCCCTGGCTTTCTTTAAGGCTCAAATTAAATGTGAAACCTTTCCTGGGCTCTCTATGTAAACAGAAACCTGCTATTCTCTATCTCAACACTTTATTTTCTCATAATAATTAATCTAATTTCTATTATACAATTTTTGGCTTACTTCTTTTTTGTTTGGCTCAGTCCCTGGAATATAACAACCACATTGATTCATTATAGTATCTCCCACACCTAACACAATGCCTGCCACATAGTAGGTGTTAGGAAAAGATCAATTAAATGATAAATTAGTTAATTTTCTGACTTATTTTCTCATTTCTGAGTGTGTTTAACCATGCTTTTAAAGTTGTTTTGAGAAATAAACAAATGGAACCTGGTTGATATAAGCTTCTTAATAGTATTTCATTATTTTAGACACAGTAATTTTGATGGATTTTTAATAGACTCTATTTTTACATCAGTTTTAAGTTCACAGTAAAATTGAATGGGAAGTTCAGAGAGTTCCCACATACCCCTGCCACCACACACGCCTAACCTCCCTGACTACCAACATTCCCCAGCAGAGTGACACATTTGCTATTTTTGATGAATCTGCATTGACACATCATTATTACTCAAAGTCTGCAGTTTACATGAGGGTTGCACTTTCTGTGGGTTTTGACAAATATATAAATACATGTAGTATAATGATGTTATATATTTGTACTCAAATATATAATGACCCTATTGAAGTATCATACAGAGTAATTTCACTGCCCTGCAAACATTCTGTGCTCTACCTGTTCATCCCTCCTTTCCCTCCAACCCCTGGCAACCACTGATGTTTTTTATTTTCTCTACAGTTTTCTCTTTTCCAGAACGTCATATAGTTGGAGTCATAGAGTATGTAGCCTTTTCAGATTGGCCT